AGCAAATATTTAAATAATTTTTGAAAAAGTTTGAGGAGTTTAGGATTTTTAATGTTCAGGTTGAAGTTGAAAGGGTGAAGGAACTAACAAGAGCCTGCAAGCATCACTATAAAATCATCCAAGGAACAGTAAAAGACATACTAGCAGAATAGAATAATGGAAACCCCCCCTACTTTTGTTATTAAAAATCTAAAGGAAAATTACAGAAATGATTCATCGTTGTTGTTCGTATTACACATCATTGGAGTATCTGTCATTGGTACTATAGTTAGTACCAATGACAGTTTGTTGTCAGTAGTTGGTTAGTAGTTAGTAGTTGGTTAGTAGTTAGTAGTTGGTTAGTAGTTACTAGTTAGTGCTGTATTGGTATCTATGATGGGTTGAGTTATGCACTGAAAGTGTAAAAAGTTTTAACTTTGGATTGTTCCTTTGCTTCCATGAGAATATAAAAACCGATGTTTACGCCTTTCCAGCAGGCAAAGGAGCCTAAAACAGCTATAATATCTTGCAAATTAAATGCGATAAATCCATGCTCTAAACAATATTTTATTACACACATTAAACTCCCAGAGAATCCAAAAGGAGAATGGTTTGAATTTTTTAGAGGATTGAAATGTAACAATGTCGTAGACCATAGAAGGTTTTCCCAATAAATTGTGGTCAAGTACTACTACTTTCTCACACAATCTTTGGCCTCCTGCTTGTTCTGAATATGTTTAGATCTGCATATTTTAGGAGGAGGGGGGGGGGTCAAATTTCAAAATGCAACTTCTTAGCACTTTTGTGTAAGTTTATGCAATAAACCAATTACCATGCAAAATTTTGGGTCTCTTAAAAATCAAGAAGTGATCTTAAATTTCTATACCTAATGTTCATAAAATAAGCTTTTGGGAAATCGTGAAATAGGAAACATTTGTGTACTGGGTTACTCATAATGAATTTGTTTATTCTCAGATTGTTTTGGATATTTTAGAAAAATGCTGTATTATTTATTCTTGAAGTTTGGTATCCACTATATAACAGTACCGCACTTTTGCCCTGTATTCAGGACAATGAACTTAAGATTAATGAGAAGTCTATGTCTATGAGAAGCCAACCTTGGCCGTAGTCATGGCAACTGTGCACTTTGCAGCCTAAAGCCACATATAACTAAGGCGTACTATACTAACCCTATATACCCTCTACTACATCATCCCTATTATGTGCTTTAAGGCTTTAAAGCTATCATGAAACGCTGGATCACTATTATATTTCGCATATTACTTCATATGGATTAAGCAATTAATAAAAAGAACACACTTTAATGCTAATAGACTTCAATACAAATGCTAAGGTAGTCTAGTGGCTATAGGGTAGGAGTAGTAGTAGGTTTAGAGACAAGTAGTAGTAGGTAAGTATAGGTAAGTAGTAGCTCAAAGTTGTGATAGAATGTTAAAATCATAATCTAGAGCTAGAGGGAAGGGAAGCACCATTGTGTAATAGGTCTGTTTCAGGGTTCTAGATTTTTTTACTGTTTTAGAGATAATTAAGATTACGTATTGTTTTACGTATGATAAACAGTTCCGTAGCAATACAGCTTTTATCTCGATTTTGTAAGGGCGAAACAGAGAGTGAACTGGTGGGAAAGTGAAATTCAACCGCATCTGACACATTCAGTCACATTTGACATCTTTGCTTTGTATTCATTGACACAGTCGGAAACAACTCAAAGACTTGGTTTGGCTTTGTCTAACTAGTAACTGAACCATACATCTCACTGACTGCTGGTGTATCACCAGCCTAACTAAGTTACAGTTTATAACGGGGTTTGTGTGAAGTTTATACTTGTATGTAATATTATGTTTTGTTGATTTACAAATTAGATTCAAACTGTGTTTATCTTTAATAAATTTGGTAAGAGAACATTGGCCTATAACATAAATATAAAATTAAGGAGGTAATTCTTTTGCTTTACTACTCCAATATATATAAACAAAACACTCCTAGATTAATGTTTTTTTATATACAGCCGACTGAAAAAATATAAATGTACAGTATTATACAACAGTGCTTTCAGTTATATATTTATTTAAATGTTTCCAACAATAAAAGTAGGGCACAAATTAAAAAACCCCGTGATTGCGAAACCCCTTTAACATAAAAAATAAATCCTGTTGAACCTCTTTCACTCAAATTTGCCGTTAAATATTCTTCATAAATTGCACAGTTAATGCATTTATAGTTATGGTTTTCTAGTTTTCGAATTTCTTTTGTAAACTTCAATGCAAAGAAAAAGTGTAATTTTTATTGAATCATCCACATGATTACTCATCTGTAAATGACACGACAAACCATTAACCAATAAAATGTTATAATATTAATGTAAAAAAATTATGCCCGAGATTATTATAGCTTAGCTGTTATTTTATTTATTGATTAAACTAAATTCATACGAAAAATATTTTATGTCCGTAACTTTGTGTATTTGTCTTTACAATAACTCTTGGCAATTCCTGTGTAAGAACAAGATTAATCATATACCCTCTAGTTAAAAATTTACCTTCATTTTTTAAACATTCGTCAATACCTAGTTTATCTGAAAATTGTTTATGTTCCGTATAAAATGGTTAATTGCGTTCATTTTGGTTTACAAAATAATTTGAAATGCCACAATGAACACGAAGACGTATAGCATATTAGCCGTACACATCGCCAGTCATGAACTACACGTACGTTGCCATGGGGACGAAGCCGCTTCTACTAATGCAGGGTTAAGCCCTGTCAAAATAACATGAGCTTACTTTGTACGGCTCAATACGGCCAGCCAGTTTATATTATTGAATTTTAACGAATCCCAGCTTTGTGAACGTTAACCAAACAAACTGGAAGCTCCGTCAATTCGTATTGAAATTGTAACTGCATTACTATTCGGTGTGTTATGAGATTTAGTATAAATCGTTAAACCCGTAAAGTGTGATTATAGTGATCAAAAATAGCTTTATTACTGTGTTTTAGTTTAAAAACAATTAAAAATGTTGGCTTTCCAAACCTTATAGTACATTTTAAACGATGCTGTCACAAAAACAACCTGTGAAGCAATCTCTAAATTTTGTGTGTTTTTAGAGAGTTTGGTGGCCTCTTTTAACTTTGCATTTGCCAGTCCACATACACTTCAGATCTGTGCGTGGAAGGTATCCAGCAAAGCAAGGGGTGAGTGGGTAAGGTGAACTGTACTGATAAAATGTTTTGTCGCAGTGACCAGGATCCGAACCCACGACATCGCTGCCTTGGGCCCGAAGTCTGCGATGCTACCAACTGAGCCACCCACCGACTTACAACAGGTTGCAGTTGTTTTAATCAGTTTAAAATATAATGGTCAATAGAAATAAGACTAATATTTATAGACAGTTTGACTGGCATTGGTTTAGTAAGAGCTTAGCTTAAGTTTGCTAATGATATAACAAATAAATACTCAAGTAATTGGTGCCCGACGAACTTAAATCAAATTTACAGTAGTCCCGGAACTAGGTGTTTCATGAAGACTAGTTTGTTTGAAAAAAAACTTGCAACAATTGTAGTTAAGTTTATAATTTTTACCAAGCGCACCCTCCTATTTCAGTATATAACACTAAGCAAAATAATAAAATGGTAAATCTCTGTACAGTTTTTAATTGTTTTTAAAGCTTTCACAATGTAGGAGGAATTCCAGACAAAAACTAATAACCGGTGACACGAGTTTTATTGTACGTGGAGAGCAATTGTTCGAATTAATTAAACCACTTTACGCCAGTTAAATCATCATTTTTCTCTTCTTACTGCTTAGCATATAAAATACCTCAGATGTGCGTCAATGATGCAAATCCCTAGTTGCTTCATTGGCCTTCTATTCAACGAAAGAAGGTTTAATACAATTGATTTGAATTGCCCTTTTTGTATTTATACTTCGTTTAAAACCCAAATAGTGGTTCATTTTATAGGCTCAAATATTTGAATTACAAGATGTCACTAATGACAACACTGGGTGCTATGTCACCTCAAGTTGCGGCTTTTAGGGGATAGGGGATTGATTTTAATTCAATGAACAAACCAACGCTGTTCTTCTTTACAAGAGTGCCTTAATTTGAAGCTGTTTAGAGACGAATTATGCCAACACTTATTTTTTCAGTACACTTGACAATAGTAAAATACATGAATATTAACAATTGTCTAAGCCTTGAAAAAAATAAGTTGTTTTATTTTTGTAACGTAGTTAGAAATGTTGAATGATAGTATTAACGTAACGACACGAGTAGAAAATTTTAGTTACGAGCTTTGGCGAGTGCCTTTAAAACTTATAATTACACGGGTTGCGTACACTACTTTACCTACGACCGTTTTTTAATAAAACAAATTCTACTCATAGCTTTCAAGAGAGATTGTGTTTTCGTTTAAACCTCTCATAGCCACTGATTGTGATGCAACGACTTATTTTTCCAACCACTCACCCATTGTTTTATCAGTTAAATTGTCCTTAACAGCTGATATGTTGACGTTCGGGTTATTACAATTTACCTATTTTCTCTCAAACTTCATTGGTCTGTTACTCGACGTGTTGTAAAGTAAAACAACAATGCTGTTAAGTAAACAATTCTGTTAAGTAAACAGTGAATCTTTTCAATTCTAAGAACTTTACTGAAACGGCTAAAAAATCGGTCGTAGGTAAAAAGATTTACGATTTTGAAGCTACATAGTGTTACCTCCTATAGGTAATATTGTCTACTAGCTACTAGACAATAAATAGACATTTTCCAAGGTCGTAGGTAAGTTAATTGAATTAACAATCATTCTGAAATAAAACTGTTAACGCATGACACATTCTCAACATGTCAATCTTCCCCTCATTGTCAACTAATGTTAGATTTGTTGACATCCAAGGTTTCAAGGCGGAGATGACATTCGACAGTGATTGTTAGAGGTGGTGGGGAAACAGCTGTTTACATAACACCTGGCACACCGGTGTCGTGTGATAACTTATCAGTAGTCGTCGGGGCGTCCGCGCTGCGACTACAGACTTATCAGCACTCATCATGTATTTGCTCTCTCTGCTCTCCTTGGCCACCCTGTGCCTGGCGGACTTCAACATCCTTCTACTCCACAACAATGACATGCACGCAAGGTTCCAGCAGGCGGACCGCTACTTGGGTCTGTGTCCAAACGACTCTTCACCAGACTGTTACGGAGGTTTTGCCCGGGTAAAGGCCACGGCGGAGGCTAAGAAGAAGGATGCTGCTCAAGCCGGGAGACCCACGATATTCCTGAATGCCGGAGATACATTCCAGGGAACTCCTTACTACACTTTCTTTAAGTGGCCGATTGTGTCTCAGTTTATCGACATGCTAGGGATTGATGTGATGGTAAGTTTGAACAATTTTATATTTTAGTTTGAGCATTAAGCACAAACAGGTTCTGGCAAAATGGGAGTTACTTTCATTTTATATAAGCGTTTTGGTTGATCGATCCTTTTGTCTTCAAAATCTACCTTGTGATCAACACTTTAAGCACAATATTCAACTTTATTCATCAGTGTAATTAATCACAAGGACTACATCATTACATGTTTTGGGTATTTAAAGTAAGTTAAGTTAAGTTTTAAGTTAAGTTAGTTAAGTTTTAGTGTGAATGTGGTAGGGCTCACAATCATTTATCTACGTTCGAATTACAACTAAGACAAGAAAATACAAACACCCCATAACCTACCATACTGATAAAGCAATTGTAAAACTGATTAATTGATAAGAGATGTAGCAGGTCAAATAGTGGCTATGCTTGACTGCCAAATCGCAAAATATTCTAATAGTCTAATAGTCTAATAATAATCTATTTAAAATTTACCATTGCATTGAGGTTAGAAAACTCACAATAAGATAACATAATGGCCTAAATAGTCTGAAGATATATGATAACTTATGTAATAATCAGGTTAAATTTCGATAGTTTTTTTATTACAAGATTTCTGTATCCAATCGTAAGTTCTAATAAAATAAATGGCACTAGATTTCAAACAGACCAAATCTAAAACAGGGAGTTAAGTTTAAAATAAACAGTTTACCATAAAGACGGTTGTTATGAAGTTTTCCCTTGCACAGTTGCCACGAGGAGTATTATCATTATAACTTTAAGCATAACTTTGCGTAACAAAGTTGGTCCAGCGATCCAAATTGAACTTTCTCTTCTCAAAATGTGTCTTGGGTATTTGCTAGAGTCAATTACCTGAACAAGTAAGTCGATTCTGAAAGTAATAAATATTAAGATATTGGGATTTACAAACACATCGTTTAAATTTGTTCCAAAAAACCATAAAATATATCCAGAGAGTGTTGTAAAAAACATTCTCCGATATTAGAGGAGAGAGCTTACTCCGTCAGATAGTTTAACAGGTGGTTACAATAATGATTGATGGGCAAATTGTTGATTTTTCTATGTCACGTAAACGACATCTGGCCTGTAGTATGACCTACATGTAGCTAACATAGTTACCTAAAACAAAACAAAATACCTTACAACGTAAAAACTTTTGTAATTTGTCTATCGTAAACATCTTCTGACCATCTTTAATAGTATGGCTTGAAAGATACATCGATAGTTACTGATTGAGACAAGCTCATCTCTAAACTAAACAGCCACAAAACTAAAGTGCTTCCAAAGAAGGATTGTTTCGCCCATTTTTAAGCCAAGAATGGATTTCAGGGAGTATTTTTGACCTTAAAACAAACTCGATGATGAAACTAGCTTGATTTTAGACTAATATTGGTTTTATATTACCTGTTGTCAGTTTCAAATTGTAACTTCCGTACATGCTACATGTTTCGGCGAGATGCCATTGTCAAGCATACAGTCCAGGAATGTCCATTAAGAGTTAAAGTTTGTTTACGCCAACTAGGGAATTGTTTGCAGTGTTGTTTTCTATGACCTCGATCGACTCACCCCTCCTAGGACAGATTGCTATGTGAAAAGAAGAAAACAGTATGGCCAAACTCTTAGAGTAGAGATTTTTTTTAGTGCCTTAAGGTTGCGAAACGAGTATTAAATGACTGTAAGGATATTGCTACTAATTGTTTCAATGCTCCTATTGAGTAAGGGTCAGATGGTCGTTTGTCAGTACCTCTTCCTATAGATCCAGTGGCTATATAGGAAGGCTTATTTTACCTTAAAAAACATTACAGTATATTTTTTAAAGATTTATTATGGGTTTTCGTTACATGTGTTATGTATGTTAAAAGATCCAAATTACAAATTCATACTTCAAATAACTTTAACTATTTGTGTAACATAAAAGTATCAATCTCTCATTTAATTACAGTGGACGGGAAAGGTTTGTCTATAAGTATAATATTAATACAAAATCATAACTGGTTTTTAGGGTTTAATTCAATGAAGAGTGTGATATTGACATGATGATTGATCGGTTCAATTTCTTTATCAGCACTACTTTGTTACCGATAGTATTTAAGGAACTAAGGCAGTTAATGAATGTTCATTGAATGAAAGTCATTATCAAATCTTATTTCAAGTACCTACTCAAGTAACCTTGTCACTCAACAGCAACATACAGCTTGTTGCTATATCACTCAACAGCGAAGCATCATTCACGTGTTATGGTTAAAATGTTAACCCAAATTAGACGCATATATTTAAAAGGTATAGGCTAAATAATATGATTGGGTGCTTTTGGAGCGCAGTTTGAAAGCTTTTAAATGTGTTCAGAATGCTAAATGGTTGATGCTTTTAATTGCTTTGTATTAGACCAAACATGCATTGTGTATATGATGGATAAATAAATAGATTGAAAAATTAATCTCCTAAAACTTTAATCTGTTTCATATATTTCAGGGTATTTTTATTCAACTGACTGCAGTTTTTTGTTTTAAGTTGACACATTATTATATCACTTCAAGGTCAGTATTATAGAACAGTATACTGATCCTAAATTTATTTTCCAAGTTTCGTTAAAACACTGACCTCCACTAAACACTGACCTAACTATTAGGATATTATTTCAGCAAAACAGTATGAACATTAAACAAGCTTTTTTTTAAAGATGGTGTGGAAATCTTTATCACTGACCAGTAAAATATTAAGCATGGATGGTATATAAAATGTCTTGGTATTAGTGTTTAATTCTATGAAACTGAAGATCACGTAAATAATAATTAGAAAAATATTAAGAGCGGTATCATTAAACGGACAATCTGTCAGGAAAATTTTTGACAGAAAATTTAAATCACACTGTCCATTCACCACGCGATCATATCTACAGTCCTCATACAGTGATCATGTCTGTCGCTCATATATCACAGCCTGTCATATTTTTTAGCAATGTGAAAATGTAAAATCTATACAATCCACGTGATCGTAGGATTGACACATTTAAAAGTGTGTCTAATATCTGTTTAGCATGTTACTTGTTAATGTGGAAGCTACTTTTCTAGGATTAATGAATTTCAAAATTTAAATCCACTGATTTTCTGTAATTTCGTGAATATTATAATAAGTTACACTCTACCTTAATACTCTTATAAATTTCGATATTGCTGCATGAAAAAAAATTGTTTAACAGGCAATTTTTTGTGTTTCAGTCCCTGGGAAACCACGAGTTTGACGATGGAGTCGCTAGCCTATCTCAATACATCGCGAATGTTTCAGTTCCAAATATCTGCAGCAACCTAAACCTTACCCTAGAGCCGAGCCTACAGGAGCCTAACTTGACACCTTCGTTCATCCTCAATGTCAGCAACGTCAGGATAGGAGTTATCGGATATTTGACACCGGACACCAAGGTATCCTAGCTAGTCCATGTAGCTATTAATGTAACGCCAATTAGAAGATAAACACCAATAACGGTAAGCTCTGGGTCGAGTAACGTCTGTGATATCAGGAATCATCAGATAAATGCCAAGGTACAGCAAGAGTAGGATATCAAGACTCTCTTGCCTATTCATTGTAGTTCTTAGGTATCCCATTTACCGAGGTATACTAACTATCTACGGGAGTCTTTTTCGTTAGATGCTTGATTCAAAAGTGAGACCAGAAGTGAGTTGATTCAAAAGTGTAATTGTGAATATTTTACAAATTTCAATGTAACCGCATATTCTGTGCCTTGAACTCCTTGCATGTTTTCAGGATTCGCATGAAATCAATCCTTAAAACTTGGTTCCCTTAGTTTTAATACCCGATGATAGGGTTATTGGTTATACGCTATAATTCAACTGTCACATATGTTCTTTTTATTGCAAAATTGTTAACAATAACCTTACGCATAATGTAGACCTACCATAACAAAGAAAAAATTGTATCAAATTTTTATGAACGGGCTTACTAGTTTACAGTTAAGACATTCATTCCACAGAGTTAAATTGGCTTGTAGATAGTGCATTTCGTTTTTAATAAGCGTAACGAAAATTTGATGTGCATAAGTGGAATGATAACTTTTAATGAGTTTTGCATCCATACGCTTTAAATACAACACTCCTAACATCTATGCAAATTAACTGTGCTTAGACATTATTCCGGAAAACAGTAAAGTTCAATTATGATTTACGCATTAAAATAGCCACAATTAATTGTTTACTATATTCAAACCTCTCTCAAATGGTGCTGTGGTGCTAAATTAAACAGGTGCATTCAATAAATAAAACGTCTAAGTTTAGGACGTTAACATTAAAATTATAGATTTCTCGAGAAATGAGGTTTTGTTTTTGTGGGTATATGAAAAACATAGTATACCTAGGTAATTTTAGTATGATTGTCAACGATGTAGGAGAGTTGCTGTATGCCATAGCAAAATAGATTTTACGGTTTACCATGGGTAAATGGAGGCGTTTGTCTCTCTGAGTGTTCAATTAATCCTGGACATCCTGATTTAAGGATGTTAAGTTTTCTGAGGTTGCTGAAATACTGAGGCTTTCCAATGACGACAATTTCTTAGACCAAATACTAGGTCAGCACTCTACACACGTCTTACATGTGAAGTAAACTTAAGACATGGATCTAAGAATGGTCACTGCAGCTAGATCAGACCAAAACATTACACCACTGTTTATAAACAAGCTTTTGAATTTTCTTTCTACAACTTACAATTTTCAAGATAATTTCTTACCCAGCGGCTGTTCAACACAGTTTTATGCTACGTTTAATGTATTGCATATTTTATATTCAATTGAAGTCAATTTTCTACAAAAAAACTGCATGAAAGTCATCTCTGATGCAACCGATGGATCACACAAATGCATTTGTCCTGTAGAATCCCTGCGGTTGACAACTATCAGCACTTATTTTTAAAACAAGTTATGATGTGCGTAACTAGTTAGTAGTACAGTTTCCTGGTTGAATAAAATCGGTCCGAAACAGGTCCCTAAAAGTACACCCTCATTGATTTGCAGAAAATAGGTGTGGGTTAGGTAAGAGGTCCTTCTTAGTTGTTTGATTGTCGATTATTTTTTTAAAGTCGTTACTTAAGACATGGCCAACTGGTTATTACTTTTACTCAGTTGTGGAAACTTATTGGGACTGAATTGAAACCACGAACGGCTTTAGACTTTCCCCGGCATTGGAACCGTAACCGATTCACTGTTGAAGAAAATGAACATTACAAACACTCACTTTGCAAACGTTGCAAATTATAAATTTTTTGCTGTTATTGTTGCCAGTTTCTGTCCAATGTCGGGAAGGTTGATATTCTTGACGAGATTCCTAGTATCCGTAAAGAGGCACAGAGACTTCTCGCTGAGAACGTGAACATCCTAATCGCTCTCGGACACTCTGGGTACGTCAAGGACCAACAAATCGCCAAGGAGGTCGAGGAGATAGACCTTGTGGTCGGAGGTCACTCACACACCTTCTTGTACACAGGTAACTTAAACGTGTAGGTAAAAATATTTTACAGTATTTCTTACTTTGTTTATGTACCGATAGTGAACCAATATCGTCTAATTGTTTACTTTTAAATTTACAAGGGGGTTTTGGTTTATTTTAAATGTATTTTACTCATAACAATTATACATTTTATGGATTTACATAAAATCGTTCATTATCTATTCTTTAGAAGGGAAAATTCTGCATTAAATTTTGAACTTTCAGATTATTAATTTATTTGGATTATCATTTTGCGTAAACAATAATGGCTTCTAAAAACACTATTTACTCAGTTTTGCCTGAATAAGACGCTCAAAAACAAAAAACTAAATTATACGAATCGTGATTTTTATGTAACACCAAACAAGGTTCAACATTAGGTACTACATGAATAATAAGTGGTAATATGGAAATATCTCTGAACGATGCCTGATCTTATATCTGGGAATCTAAAGTTGATGGATTTTACCAAAAATCTATGAAACAGTAAAAGCCTGGTAAACGTTTAACCAGTGAATAATTCATAAACTACATTTCATTTTAGTAAAATATTCTAAAACTTGAAACCTCTCGCTATATTCTTGGTTGCTTCTACATGAGTGTAAAGTTACAAGGTCCTTTCAAAAGCTCGTAATGAATGTCTGTACACAGAACTGAAGCAGTAAAGTTAAAAGCATGTATAGAGGTGGTACTCTAAAAGTGAAAGTAGTAAACAAGAGGTGGGCAACTTTTAAACAAGATGGTCTGACAAGGCCCGGGTCATTACCTTACACACTTCTTTTGTACAAAACTTGGTGATATCAGTTATGAAGTAGTTTAGGCAACAACGAATTTTCTCTCTCTTGAGATAAGTGCGTAAAAGATTTTTAAGTATGCTTTCTAAACAAATGCCTTTTAGGACACACGATGCTTTCGTTTATTTCACTAAACATAATCGTTTTTAGTACCAGGATAAAAATGGTAATGTCATTTAGTTTGATTGAAATTTATTTAGTTTGAAAAAAATTGATATTTAAAGTATACTATGTATGTTAAAACTGATTGAGTCTACAAAAAACATTGAATCTTAAACTGAGTTTGTTACAAATTGAATTCAACAAAGCCTACTTTTATAATACGGAAAATGGTAAAGGTTGTTGTTTTTATCGTTTATCAAGTACCAGCATCCTTTAACTTCAACATGAAATTATACAACCAATTAACAAATAGTTTTAGTAAATAGTCTTTTTACACAATGTAACTGACATAAATACATTTAAATTAGGTAGATTTGGAATTAGTTTAACCGGTTAATGCTATGTTGTCTATTATCTAACACAGGTATTTTGGAAAATGTATTCTCTTTGTAATACAAAAATCATTACCAAGTAACACAGCACGTGGAAACTATTTTTAGCTTTTTATTAACTTTTACATTATGGGTATATGGTTTAAAACAGCTGATTTAAATTGTTTACTAAAATGTACATAAGAAAAATTTATTTGTTTAAAAAGTAATATATTTCGATTATTTTTAGCGATACTCATTTATATTTCTTCTGTCTAGTTTCTCCTCAATAATATTCATTTTAATGGTTTTTTTTTACCTAATTGTTATACCATTATTGTGCTTTTCTTGCTAATAAGCTCGCATCGTTCCCAAGCTTTGCTTGAGATGGATTAGAAGATCAACGTCTGTTCATATTTATTCAAACGTTCTTTAACAATCAAACGAACAAATAAATAGCTGATATTCAATTTTGTCCGAAACAAAGATACACGAGTCTTACCATTCGTCCCAAACCCACATCTCATTCACATTTCACTACAACACGTCTTAGTTCAGTCCATATTTTAGTTATATACTTATAGTTTACCTGTAATATGGTAATGCAGTTGGCTTTTTAACATGTCAACGGAAGTACCTACTACGGTTATTTTATTTACAAAGTATCCTGACAACGTATACCAAGGTGAAAACTGAAATAGAAATATTAATTTATCTTTTTAACAAATACAATTGTATTTGCAATGAAGAGGTTTCGGCATTTATAATTAAAGCAGAGCTAAAGGCAATCATTAGTGTCCCTTCTGATGTTGAATCTACTACATAAATAAGTTTCTTATTATTTCAATAACATGAAAATAATAATATATTAGAAATCCTCGGAATGGTTTAGTGTAGAGTTGTGTATTATCAATTATTATTTTGTAGTTTATTGTCAAAGATTATTTTACTCAGCAGCTCTTATTGCTTGTCCTTTCAGCTTTTAAACCCTACCTATTCATATTTTTTTATTTTAAAAATATTTTGAGCTGTCAATATATGTTCTCAAAATAATATAAAGTATACTTCTGATATATGCATGTTACCTTATACGAGGTTTTGTCAAATTTATTTGACAAATCAACTGTATTATAATAAATATTTCACTAGATAAACCCACTTGTTTGTATTGCCTACCAATAGCGAACTCAACTTTGTTTGAATTAAAGCAAAAGTTGAAAACAATTTTGATACTTAGGAGTTGAGATTTTCTTGAGAGAAAATCTATACCGAACCCTTTATATTTATCGAATATTCTATTCATTACACAAATATCATCTATCCTTTTGCATGTAGGAACTCCACCAGATCCCGTGGACGTACCTAAAGGTCCATACCCCACAGTTATAAGCCAAGCCAGTGGCAAGAAAGTGCCCGTGGTCCAAGCATACTACGGCACCAAATATCTCGGATACCTGGAGTTGGACTTTGACGACGAAGGAAACCTGAAGAGTTGGAATGGAGCGCCAATACTTCTGAGCGGCGACTTGCCTCAAGGTAAAGAATAGAGACCCCTAAATCAGAAATGTTATGTTTGAAAGATCCTCGTTGCTGGACATTCTACGTGGAGGAACCTTTTCAAACTTGAAAACCCAGTATTAACTAAGCATCTTTTTTAGGTTATGTATGTACTTTAGTCTCGATTTATAAATGTTTTAATATATGCTGCAAGGTCAAGGCTATAGGACAGGTAATCATGGCCATAAATAATCCGGGAAAACATAAGTAAGGACACGATGGGGATCAAGCAAATACTTTGAATGAACTAGCTATTAGAGTATTAAAACCAGGTGCAAGGTTACCCATCATACTATATGAATTAACCCGATCCCTAGGCTAAAAGCAAGTGAATCTGATAGGGTTATATACCACAACTGAATGTTTAAGGTATTGGTATTTTAAAACTAAAAATAGTGCTAAAAAACTACATACATTATACATGATAGAGGATGTGAACAAATAGATGGTTAGACTTCCATAGAAGGATAAAAACCAATACAGGATAAATACACTGGTAGGTTAAAACCTGGTAGAATTTAAAACCGTTAAAAGAGTCAATATATTTTGAGGTGAAATAAATTTTATAAGATATGTTATATGCGGAAAATAAACATTTTAGAGCTTAAATACTCAGTAACAAGTAACGAGTGAGACATCATCACGACGAGACAGATGAAGGCGAGTACGGAGTAAACAATTTCTATTGTTGCGTTATAGAACAATGGATTGGCAGATGGTTGACATGTTTCAACCACTGTTGTATATTTGACACCACACAGAATTTATCTCTTAATGAATTCATCAACAATACTGTTACCTCTGTCAGAAACATTCGTGAACCTGATGTTTGTCTTGAGATAAAATTCTAGCTCTGAAATTTTTTTAACATTAGAAGTGACTTGTTTTGCCCTATAACACCTAAGCAGTTGAGATGAAAATGCCCTTTAATTTTATCGTTTAATTACTTTTTTTTTTCAAATTAAAAACCAAACCAAAACATTGAATGAAGAATGTTGTTTAGGAGTTAACTTAAATCGCGTGTCACTTCACTAATAAGAGCACTGTAAGAAAATAGCTTTGAGAGTGATTTTCACTGAAGCTCTCAGTAAAAGTTTTTTAATTATAAAATCAACGGGCTTTTATCCAAGCAATCCCCTTGAGCCAAGTACTGACCTAAAACAACATGAAACTTTCATAAATCAACTTGAGAAAGTAACTGCTTTAATAATCTGATTCCGAACTGAAGAGTTAAATTGACTTTGAAGACAAATCGAATTCTCAATTTAAAGTGTTATAACCTAAAAACGTTCGTTATATCGAAATGACTGTTAATGATAAGTTATGATTTGAAATTCAAATGTAGTGAGAAAGTTATTTTTGATAAACATTTTTAATATGGATTTTTGGTATGAGTAAATTTTAAAAGAATGTTATCATTTATATACATTATTGATTTTTACAGATATTTTATTTTCAACCTTTTTGTTTTTTTTTTTTACATTCATAAAAGAGTGCAAATGTATAAAAACTTATGATTCATATTTATGTGAATAATAATGTCGCCAAGTGTTATAAGCTTTATAGTGACTGTTAATTTGAACCATATGTAAACTAAACTATAATTGGTATAGTAGTTAGTCTTATAGTAATTTCAGCAGTAGCTCATGCGTAAATTTATTGTAGAACTTTTCTTCAAATAATTTACTTAAGATATTATTTATTACAGACCCAGGCGTGCTAGCGGCACTTCAACCCTACGAGAAGGAACTTCACGATAAAATAAACAAAATTGTGGGTTACACAGGTGTTCTACTCAACAATGAGAACTCTGCTTGTAGGTTAGGGGAATGCAACATCGGTGATATGCTAGCAGACGCATACGTCGACTACGTAAGTCTTTACATGCAATAACTATTAGTTATCACGTTAAACATTACATAGATTTTTTTATTGTGGTTTTCTGGTGCAAACATATTTCTTAATACTAGTCCAATGTTAGGTGTACAGCAGATATAAGATTTTAGATATATAAATTAGATATCTGAATAAACCTATGTCTTCCTTAAAACTCAAAAACGACAATTTAATTTTATATTATGTAAAATATACTGGCGTTTACTGTAACAGGTCTCACCAAAGTGGACTTTAAAATAGTATAACTTCAAAGATTGTATTTACTAGTTTGGACCTGAAACAAAATCGAATAGTTGAAACACAGTTTTGTCTGTCTGTCCATTGCCTTAGTGCATGTAGAGGGTGACTAAAATACTTAATTACAAATAATATATTTCGTTTTTTCTTTACTCTTTGACAGCCTAAAGATATCTCTAAAAATCATCCATGATAAAAAAAATCATTTACACTTTAGTGAGATGTTTAAAAGCAGCTATTGTTTTTGTAAGCAGTAAAACTAATTTTTACTCAGGAAAACGTATGCAGGTACAAAGCCTAATGGGGTTTTATGGCTTCCTATTAGCATTTATATATGGTTTAAGTCTTTAAACTTGATTTTTGAACTATCTTATCTTAACGACAAAATAACAATTGTTCGTCCTTCAGAGTGTGACTGTTTTCAACAGTGTTGTTACAAAACAAATTGATTTGAAAAAAGTCTTTGAAAATTTTACATAAAATATGTATAGTTATATTTTAAAACAATACTCAATAAAATAATTGTAAACAAATGAATTACCCTGATATATATTCCACCGATGACTGACTGAATAATGACCTTGACCTGCGCCAAGATAAAAGTAGTTTACTTTATTACAAATAATTTACTTGACAAATACATTTGAAACAGTTTAATAAGGCACATTCAAAAAGATTTATGTTTACATTTGTGCTTAATATTCTACTGAATAATGTATTATAATAGGAACTGTCCTAATATAATTTACTTAAACTGATTAAATTACTAGCCTTTCGGAAAGATAAAAGTCGTTTAATTTATGTCACATAATTTAGTTTCAATTCTGACAGTAACCCCGGAGAAGATGTTTAATGCTAATGTATTCAAGAGGGCTACAATACCCGTGGTAAGATTTGAGATTAACCAAACTCAAGTCTTGCTCGCCGCTATAAGGTGTTGAATCGTTCTAGCATAGGAACAAATCTGAAAAGTTTTTGTAACAATTTTGGATCTATTTTTTGTTTGTTTTGAGACCATGTACGTACATTGTTTATTATTAGAAAAGTTTCTGATTAGTTTTAGTTTTTAAACTGATGTTTTATGCATTTAATAACAAAATACAACCCCAGAGGTTGATTGCAAACTTACTAGGAGCACAATACATAGTACGAGTAGAATCTATTTTAATACATGTTCGGGTTCATCTATAGTATGAATTTATATGACAATAAAACTATACTAATTCTGATTTTGTAATATGAAAATATATTAGTTTTAACCACTTCAGTTTTATCATAATTTGGAAGTATTACAATAAAATTTACACAAACCTGTAATTGAGACCGGTAATGTTTAGATCAAATTAATCAGTATTTCGCTTTTCTTGTAGTGCAAATAATTGTGCTTAAATTGAGACTTTCAGCTAGGTAATATCTAGTTCAAGAAATTTACCTATTCAGCTATATATTTAAGGAATTTATAAATCGATAATCACTGTAACAGTTACAAAAATCAAAACGCTTGTACCTAGAAATGACTCTGAATTAAACTGAATATAAAATCAAATAAGGGCCTGGACTAATTATAGAAGAATTAGACAAATCAAGCTTGTCTTAGGTAGCCTGGTTCAAACCCTACGCACGACCAATTATTTCACTTATATAAACACCGAGACTTGTTGATTTGAATTCTAAATAAAAATATAGGATGCCATAAGCAAAGAAAGCCTAGTAGAGAAGATCTTTCTCTGTACTTGAAAACCTCTTGAACTAAATCCTTTTTTCCTGTTTTCCACGTTGGTGGCATTTTTCTTCGTAGATAGAAGTTGTATTAAATATTTCATTCCACAATTAATTCATATTATTGATACAAAAATCTCCTTGCAGTACGTGTAGTACGCAGAACAGAACAGTAAAGAGTTGTTACAGTATCAGCCAATATTCAGGCTATGCATAATTCTACGATAAACACAGCCATTTAATAGTGTATTCGAGCTATGAAGGGTGAATAATGTTGAAAATATGAGAGTTATAATTTCATGAATATTAAAGATAAAACGCTATCACATATGCACGCCACAATATTTAATTAATGGATAAAGTAATAAACAACCTTTAATGACAAATCAATATAACTTACATAAAAAAAGAATCTATCGACTTAAACTGTAATTTAATGAGAACCGTAAGCAAATGAAAAATGTCCAAAAATCAGTATTATACTTTAAATAATAATAATAAAAATACACTTCCCTAAGAAGGAAATCAGTTTAATTTAATTTAAGCTGATGCGTTACCTTGGCAAGTATGTATTCGTTTAGTAAATTTGCCATACAAGTCTCATGAAATCGTGGACCCGTCAATGGACTCAGGACATTTAAATAAATAAATATGGATGTTTGTAAGAGGGATGCGTTTGGATGATTTCGGAACTAAATTCGTGATTTGAATTGGTATTTAATTTAAATTTAATTAAATTATTATAACAACTCACTTAATTGACAAAAAAATAAAATTATATAACAACAACTTTTCTAAATTATACTTCCGAATCATCATTCAAAACTCTATTGAATCTCAAGTAAGGCCTTTGGGCAATATTAAAACCAACGTTTGTCGAATTCAATGACGTCTTTTGTAAATTTTCGAAGCATGAAATTAGGGTAACAATAACAAGCAGGGTATTCAGGGAGATACAATGAATATAATTTGAGACAAACCTGAATTGTTACAAATATTTACAAATCATTATAGACATAGGCATTCAATTGTGTCATTTTTCGTCTTTTCTAATATTATTGCGTCAAATATTTATTTTGTAAATATGTATTTTATGGCGACCAATGTATCGTCGAAACCAATTAGAAATAAATTTAAAAAATTGCTAATATTTTTTCCCATTTACATTGTTAGGCACGTTTCAAGCTCAAAAGTATCGGGTTTAATCTCCATCAAGTCCTTCGAATAAAACTAGTATGTTTGTTCCTTAATGTACCTCCAACCGAGATTTTCCTAGAGTACATATTAACGAAACATATACAAAAAACCTGCAGAAACGTTCGAAAACCACTAAAATCATATAAATCTTTTTTTATGTACGCTAATGAAAAAATAAATTATAAGCTCCATTTTAGAAACATTGTTTGCTGGAAAAAACTTCCAAAAGGATTACAATTTTTCTTAACTGGTCAAAGAGATTTTTATAACTAGACAAACGCATTATCGTGTTTGACAAACCCTTGTTTAATGGACATTCAGGGTTGCTTCGAAGACGATTAAACATAAGTGTATAGCTATAATTTAAAAAAATCCATTAAAATATATTCTGTATTTGATTTCTTGTATCCGCTTGCATTTGATGTTCTTTCTTGGTGATGGTGAGTTAATGTTATTAAAGACTTATTGTGGACATGTTCTATCACAATGATGTCACGTTTCGGTATCTGGAATCTGATCTTGTCCTCAGGTGTAAAAACTTAACTAACACATTACAACTAATAATGTGCCTACACAAAACCCAACCTAAGGTAGAAATAATGCAGAGAGTAGCAGTCAAGTCATGGTACAAAATGAAAAATATGTAATTTGTTATAAAACACAAAAATCTATATGTTGGAAAAGAAAAATAAGATATAGAGTAAATAGCTCACACCAATGGAACCCTACGTAGACTCATAGATATTAATGACGAGGGCTCTGCATCCATGCATTGATTATTATACAAAACAAATATATTTCTATAAAAAGTGATTTTCCTAATTCAATTCCACCTCGTTACTTTTCCACGTGATTTGAAAACTATCCGGAGGCAATCTTTTATCGGAATCCACGCCGATAAAAGCGTTGTAAGCACGTATGGTGTTGAATGGTCTGAATCGATGCTTTTTTCCTAACCAACGCACCAGCTTACTGCATTGTTGAAAGTGAGCAAAAACCCCCGTGGCTGTGTCAGGGAAACACTTTAATACTGTGTCATGGAAACACTTTAATATTATCATAAATTTTAAAACCAATCAAAATATAAAAAATATTGTTTACATGTGCACAGCGTAACAGAATACATTTAATCTTGTCCACCAATAATGTATATTAAAGTACAGAGTGGGGCAATGAAAGCACCCCAATTTATAAGCTGTACAAACTCAATAATATTCACCCTATAGATATAAATAGCACATCAAAACACAGCTTATCTTTTGCCATTTTAACTAAACAAAGTCATTTTTCCATTTCTTGATAAAAAAATCCTGCAAGTGACGTCCTTGTCCTACTCGACATTCCTTTTAAGGCACAATTCCATCAAATACTTCTCCAGCATTTCTTCAGGTACACTTTAGTTTTTGGACGATTCTTAGCTTCTTGAAAAACCTTCTTCTTGAAAAACCTCGAACTTTCAGTAGCTTACTAAAACAACCCCCCCCCCCCCCCCAAAAAAAAGGAGCCAACGTAAAGCTTTCAACAACAAAAGCTTCCTGGAAAATTCCGTTGGACTTTGAGTTACTGCGACTCGCACTCTTTCAACATTTGCTGGTATACAATAGTAGTTTACGCAACGATTGCGTTAAGTGAGTATTTACGACACGAGTAGAAAATTTAAGGCACTCGCCAAGGCTCGTGCCTTAAAAACTTCTACGAGTGTCGTAAAGACTATTAACGCGAGTTGCGTACACTACTTTACCTACGACCGTTTTTTAATAATTATCAATCTGGATTTAATTACTAACAATCACTAATGATAACTTTTTAGAGAGGTTATGTTT